ATATCCCATGACAGAGAACTAGGCAATGATATGAGAAACACAAAAAAAGAAACTTTTCTTATAGTTTATGTTTGGGTTTACTGCACAGCCGAGCCAAATTGTTTATAGTTCCACTGCCTGACGTTAGCATTCCGGCGTTCTCCTTCATTCGAGCATAGAAAGTAAAATTATAAGATATTTTCTTCCAGACGTTTACAGTTAAGCTAACGACATAGATTAGACACGCAATAAGTAAATAAAACATCATTTAAGCCAGAACAATTAAATCAGACCTAGACTAATAACTAGACTTCCAATTGAATCAAATCTCTTTTCTAGTTGTTTACGTCGAGAGCGGATAGAAATAGCTTACGATTTTCACCCTCTTCCCAACATCCAAAGAAAGAGAAACCGCGAATTGCTGACCTCATCCAATGAAGATAGTAGAACTTGGATGACGGCTCAGCAACCTCTATTGCAAGTGTTTAAAATGCCAAAATAAAACAGCCAAGCTCAAACTAGCCTAAGCATTATTGGGTAAGCGTTGTATGCCCATAAAAATCTTTCTTTCAATTAGTTTATTCTTGGAACTAAAATCCCACCTTTTCTTTGCTCCCTCAATCTTTTTGTGTTCATACGTCTACTTACTGATGTCGTACAAGACGGAGTTACTATTATTCTATCTCTTTTGCAATTGAAAGATTTGTTTGCTTCTTGACTTAGGATTGGAGATAGTGACCCACCATCCTTAATCCAGTTGCGTCCGAACAGGGAGACAAGTCCATAACTACGACAATGGCTGACGAGTAAACGAAGCACTCGATGGCATTGTCATACGTGATGTACCGTAGTCGACGTGTGATCAACTGGAACAGCTGAAACAAAATGTTTTAAAAAAAACTTGCTATTTGAAGACAACTTAAAGTATTCATATACCTCTTTGAAGAGTTGTGCAATGGCCAAGCAGATCACTGCCCACTTTACGTCTATCAGCCATTTTTGCCGCTCTATTGTCTAAGATAAAGTTCTTTTTTTCAGAATTAACATTGATAAAATTTCTACAATATTTATATTTTATGATTTGATTTTACATTGAATGTAAAGTTTATTGCGATGGGCTAATGTTGACTCTTTAGAAAATAGTTGTAGCAGAAACTGCCAGAAAAGCTTATAAGTAAGAACAACATCTCATATGATACCTATATCCAATCGATTAAATAAATTGGCTTTAAATAGAGAGATAATTACTATCTGCGCAAATCTTCACGGCAGTCTCAAAAAGACACAGTACTCCTGAGGGTAAGCATGAAAACTCATGCAGGCCTCCGCTATATACCAGCATTCCTGGGACACTTGGCATTGACGTAATAAGAACAAGGTAGACATCAACAGAATGAAAGACAGGTGAAGGCAGTGAGAATGCTTTTCCACATGTTATATTATAATTCAGAAGAAAATAGTGTTCTAAGTTATCCATGCTGTTCTTGTCCATTAGCTAAGTCCAAAATCTACATTGGACAAGCGAAATTCCTTCAACATTAAGAACATAACTAC